GTTTTCTTAACTATGACTGACTGCAGTATTGTTTTAATGTGATTTGATGGTGTGATCTGATTAGCTGCTGTCTTTGTCATCAACCTTTTTTCAAAAGATACATGAAATAAGTCCTATTTATCTTAAAGGTGTATCCTTTAGATACTTACCGTATTTTTCGCTCCATAAGACGCACCTCTCCATAAGACGCACCAAATTTTTAGGCAAAGAAAACAGGAAAAAATAATCATCTGGGAATTTCGCTCCATAAGACGCATATACTTTTTCCCCAATGTTTTTTTGGGGAAAAAGTGCGTCTTATGGTGCGAAAAATATGGTAATATGCACATTTGAAGAATGGCTTGTATTATTTGGAGGAACAGATGACATTTTCTGGATTTCTCCTTAGCAAAACCTCCCCAAACACTTCAGGTATACTGGTCTCTTTTCATAAACCTAGGTCTTAGCTTGCCTCACAAGATGAAGGTTCCAGTGGATTTGGTGTGGCTAGTTTTTCTCCGCCTTTAGAGTTCAGCTCGGGGAAAGACTTAAAGTAGCCAGTAGGTAATGCTGAAGCCAATTGCAGTGATACAAAATGGTGGGGTGGTCCTTTTCTTTCACATAACATAGCTAATTCTGCAGTAAATTTGCTCGATGTGCCATTTCAGTGGACTTACTTTTTTTATGGACTACTTCCCCTATTCTTTATCTCCTGCACGTTTTAATTCTACTTTTATGTCTTAATTGAAAACCTGATTTAGAAGAAGTATCTGGGTAAATAACGTGGCAGTATTTAATTTAGTACTTATGATAGCAGCCATTATCAATACATTCTGGGCAAAATATTTACCACTGTTCGTAAATTTCTGCTATGGAATATGAATGTATTATGGAAATATCTAGACAGTTATAGATATATAGCACTATAACTTTTTTATGACTTAGAAAAAAGAAAACTAATGACTATGAGCTTTATTTATACTTCATAGCAGAAGACTTACTGTTTGTGCTTTAAGAGCCATTTTTTTGTCATTCACGGTTATGTTAAAGTGCTCAGTACTTTGGGTAATTATATTTTCATGTCTTTAAACATAACACTTTCTGAGATTGACCGCAATAATAGTATATTGTTGCATTTAAAATGTGTGTGGATGTATTTTGCAATATAAGCACCATATAGCAGCATAATGAGTTTCGTGATAGTTGCTAGTGAAGCTTTAACCCTTTTTCTGAGTTGTGTGCTGATACAGCAAGATAAAGATTTTTAACTATAGTTTGTATTTATGCAAGGCTTTCTCTACTTTGCTAGAATTAAACAGTAGCATATGGAATACTATAATTATGCAAGTCCCAGAATTCCATAAAATCTTATTAGGGCTAGTATTACCTTGAAAATTGTTATATTCTGTCTCCACTGCTTGCAGAAAGGGTACATAATCTTCCCAGTCTGGACCTGTGTAGGAAAGTTTGGAGAAACTGAACAGGTAAGTAACTTGATTAAAACGGAGAAAAAGTCAAAAGCATGCCTGTTTAAAATTAAAGTGTTTTGTGTGGAATATCTTTTTAATAATATGGAATAATTTTAAAAAAACACTTTACATTTTGCCCACCGCCCACCTCCATTTCTTTATATGCTTACCCTCCCAAACTGAGGTTTGAGAAATTAATTTTTGAGAAATACAACCATCTGGTACAGATCATGCTGCTATTACTTTGAACAGTTTGATGACAAAATAATCCCAGTGAACAGTCATATCAGGATTTGTATTTTCATGTCGACAAAAATAGTGTGTCCAATATGTTCCTTTTATATTTCACCTTTTGGACAATTACTAGAAAATTGGAACAAGGCATTTATGTAACAATATCTTAGGTTAACATTATTGTATTATTATCAGTTTCTGCTTCTTTTTACTCAAATTCATCTATTTTCACATTCCTTCCAAGTGCTCTCTCATTGCTTTATATTTTCATCTAGTATGAATGTCTCTGTCATATTCATACATGCCACTTAATATATTATTGGTGCTTCTTTAAATAATGGATGATAAGGATTGTTAGATGCCCATGTTCTCTTCAAATATATGTTGGAGGGATTGAGAAATCTAAGAAATCAAGTTGGCGTGAATTCATATACTCTGGTTCTAATGCACAATAATATATATCTTTTACCCTCTGCTCACTTAGTACTGATACGCACGAGTTGTGTGGGTTGGAAACATGGCCCTTTTCTCCATAGATCAAAATCACTCACTCCATCTTCCATACCTGTTAGTCGATTTTTCTTCAGTGTACGTAATCTGAATTCTTCTGATATCAGTTTCTACACCATCTTCCCCCCCTTTTCTTCCCTCTCATACCATCCCCATTCGTAGCCCTGTCTCGACCCCTTGTATCTTTCTCTCCCTTGATGTTGTCAGGTTCATGCCTTCTAAAGACTAATACATCCCAGATAAAGATGAGCACAATCTCCTAGTTTGGTGCTGTTTGTTCCCTGGGCAAACAGCTGATTTATGATTCGGCCCCCGGCCCCCTCCAGTGGGCACCCATTCAGCAGCAGCGCCCCACCCTACCTCTTTTGGGTGCTGCTGCTGATGGGAACTCACTGGAGGGGGCAGGGTCCTGAACTGTGGATCAGCTGTTTGGCTCACAAACAAACTGTGCCAAACCACTGAACTGGCGGTTTGTGCCCAACCCTAATCCCAGAACCAAGAACCAACTGGACTTCCCCCCAGTTTTAAGTGAGGGAAGATAACCCTGAAGGGATTGATTCAAGTCTCCTGAAATGTCATGTACAGTACATCTGTTAAATTAATCACAATCAGTGGGTGATGGAGCCACCTCTTAAGCAGGAGTAAATATGATGTGTGAATGAGTCCATTTCAGAGAAGTGGACTGTTAGAAAGCTGTAGCAAAACAACAGTATACCAACATGAATTTGGCCAAACCCTGGGATGCAGTGGAAGACAGGAGGGCCTGGTATGCTCTGGTCCATGGGGTCACGAAGAGTCGGACACGACTTAACAACAACAAGCAAAACAAATATATTAAGACAAATAGACTTCATGAACTTAGTATTCTGATGTTGCTTAAAATTTATTTTCCATCTTTTCATTTTGTTGGATGAATATTTACATGGTATCATATCCCTTCGCATTTTATTGTTGGAGCAATGTCCTATTGACACTGCCAGATGTTCACTTTTTATCCTGTACTACTAGGTAAATATGTCAGGTCATCTGTTGTGCTGTGTTGGCTGCAACCAGAAAGGAAGCACTTATTTGGACTGTATTGTCTTAGCTGAATGTTGGGGAAATTACAGATTTATATTGGTCAGAGTTCTACAATTAAATTTTATATCGAGCAGTAATGAAAACTGAAGTTGCTATGTTAGGCTAATTATACATGATTGTGTTTAAGCTGTTCTAATTTTAGTTCCAAAAAATGTTAAAATATTTGCACAACAGCTGTAATTCCAATATCAAAAGAGAGATGTACACACAGACATGTGATCTTAAATATTGACAAAGGGATAAGATATTAAAATACTGCCACTTTATTTTTCTATAAGATAATTCTGTCTCTTAATTTGCACCTGAACTCTTAAAGGCAAAGATTAAAATGTTATCAAAGCCCTGCTCTTTGGAAATCAGTTTAGAAGGTCCATTATGGCAAAAAAGTAAATCTGATAAGTTTTGACAAAACAAAAGATTCTAACTGAAAGCTCTAATTAAATGAAAAGATATCCTTTTTCTTAAATATTTTAGGGAGCTAAACATTTAGACAGCTGTGTAATGCAACAGTACATTCCCCACTCCTGAATGTGCATACCTCCCCAGATTTATATGTGGAATACTTTGGTAGAGAAAACAAAAATAAAAACTGAATGTTTATTTGATATGAAAAGTGAATCGTAGAGGGGGCTGTTGATACCTATCTCTTATCCGTTTCATTCCTGAAGTAGTTTTTTTTTAAAGTAGCACAAATAAAAATGATCAGGATTTCATACTGTTTCAACCAGTTTAGTATGTTTAGGTAAGCTCAAAATGTTCAATATCTATTGCTATTTTTGTCTAAATAATTGTCCCTTTCTCTGCCAATCTTTTTTTTAAAAGAATTTTTTATACATTAATGTCAATGGATATTTTCCTTTTTTAACTGTTGTGGGGGCAAGATACTAAAATAAAATTTAAAAAATTGGAGTAGAAAGACTAAACCTCCCCATCTGTGTACAGTATTTCTGATTCAAATTGGGATTGCACACTCTAATGTTTGAGTGCAAAAGGGATCTTGAGCGACTCAGTATGTGTTGAATATATTGTGAATTTTGACCTAACTGAAGGTGCAAGTGTGAAAGTCTATGCAGTAGTTATGACCATTGTTTTTCCCTTTGTTGTCTTGTGGTTGTGCTGAGCAAGCTGCAGTGCTGCACTTTGCTACTTACTAGACTACAGAATCTTCAAGTCTATCCACTGAGATGTCTAGGGGGTCTCGTGGCACAGTGGTTAAAGTGCTGTACCGCAGCTAAAACTGTGCTCACGACCGGGGGTTCAATCCCAGGTACCCAAGGTTGACTTAGCCTTCTATCCTTTCAAGGTTGGTAAAATGAGTACCCAGCTTGCTGGGGGGGGCAATGTGTAGCCTGCATAATTAACTTGTAAACAGCTCAGAGTGTGCTTGAAGCGCTATGGGGTGGTATATAAGCAGCACACTTTGCTTTTGCTTTAGACAGATTTCAACCTAACACCTGTTTGTGCAAGAAGTAGGAGTAATCTCTCCATGCATGGCCTGGTTATACTTAGTGGTTTATAGAGACAGATTAGCAAGCTTTGCTCAAAATAGCCCCCATGCATAGGTGGCCTGCACTGTTACTCTACTCTTGCTGGGTAGCCAGAATTTCATGAGGGAGAGCAGGCTAGAGTTACCCAGGATCATATGGTATCCTTTTGCAATAATAAAATGATTAAAGTATATTAACGTGAGGAACACAAGGAAATTTAACTTCATATCATTTTTTACAGATTACAATTTCTGCCGAAGTTCAATAAACAGCATTTCTCCTGTTAGTGCTACTCTTGCTGCCGGAACTACCAGTGTGCTGTCGTATACATCAAGACCATACTCTTATCCAAGCTATCCTTTGTCACCATCAATTCCACTTCCTAATGGTAACCATGTTGGACAGCGTCTGTATATCTCCAGTCAGGCCTCATTCTTTTGAGGGAAATAAAAGGCAAGCTGAAAGTAGAATAAATTTATTTTAAAATTATAATTTAGTTTTAGTTTTAATCGGGTCCACACAATTAGTTCTGGTGAGTTAAATATGTATGTATTTTACAGATTACTTATAAATTCACAGAATTTGGGTGAAGATGAATGTTCCAAATGTGTTCTCACTTGCCAAGAATAGGATTGTTTCTAAAATATGATATAATAGTTCCTGGTTATCAAACTGTAAACAAGAGAACTCATTCAAGCTTTTTTTTTTTTTTAAAGAGTACTTTGCTGAATAATTTAAGTACTTTGCTTTAAATAATTTTAAGTTCATGCAGTTGTTATAATCTTGTAACTAAGGATCACTTTTTGGGAGATGAAAAACATTATTTAGTCAGAAAAAGTATTATGTAAGAAGGAAATGATGCAAACGAGAGATTTTCCTTAAATAACAAACTTTATTTAAATCTGTATGACTAACTTATGTACTACTGTGGTCCTCATCAATTATTTTGATTTTAGTTGCATGATAAATATTTGTTTTACTAATAGGCTATCTTACTTTGTGTCACTTTATCCATGTTTACATTGTTGATATTTCTTTGTTAAAGGTATTGTTCTATTTGCATGTTGTCGTGTTTTTAATGTTCATATCATGTGTTTAATTCCATACTTGAATGCAAATATTTTGACATTAAATTCTCACTGTATAAAATAACTGAGATTTGTCTTTAATACTTAAAGTAAGTGTTAATAAATCTTGAGATCTAATTTTATGAAGGCCTTTTTTAAACTCTTGCTTTGAACCTATCAGATTGAATGATTGAAATGATCACATTATATCATATCCTCAATTAGTTTATGCAGATAGAATAGAAGTTGCTTCCCTGTAGTCTAGTCAGTTGCATGTTATATCACTAGAAAAGAACAAACAAGAAATCAAATTATAAACCTTAAAGACTAGGAAGGAGAGACTAAGTGGGAGCAGAATTGGGGGGGGGGATTGTCAAGGATTTTTATCAAGCACTATATAAAGAACCAGGGAAATCAATAATAGAGTAAAGAGAATATTTACAGAAGTTTCAGTTAAAGAAATTATCGAAAGAAAATAAAGAGATCTTGAATTTTTCAATAACGATGTGTGAAAGTGTAGAAGGTATTAGAAAACAAATGAACAAAATAAATCTCTAGGAAGTGATGGAATACTGGCTGAATATTAAAAAATTTTTGAAGAAGTTTTAGGTTTATCCTTTAAGGAATTAATAGAAGAAATAGAAAAAGAAATTCCCACTTCCTGGAAAGAAGCAATAATTTCAGTGATACATAATGAAGGCACAGATAAATCAGACGTCAAGAACTATAGACCAATTTCGTTATTGAATGTAGAAAAACTTTTAGTGCAGATTATTCATCAGGGCCAATTGGGATTCTTAGCAAAAAGACAAATGAAAAATAATATCAGAATAGTATTGAATGTCTTGAACTATGAAGTCCACCCAGAAAAGCAGATGGCACTGAGATTTTTCGATGCTGAGAAGGCCTTTGAAAATATGAATTGGAATTTCTTACTCACACAATTGCAATTAATAGAAGTGGGAGGGAAGTTTATAGGAGAAATGAAAGCAATATATTCTAAATACGAAGCAAGAATTAAAGTTAATGGAGAGCTGACTAAAACAGTTCAAATTGAGAAAGGCACAAGGCAAGCATGCCCACCGTCCCCTCTATTGTTTATTCTGATGGTAGAAATTCTGAATCAACAAATCAGAAAGGATAAGAGAATCAAAGGTTTAAAGGTTAAAGGAGAAGAAATCAAAATTCAGTTCTATGCTGATGTAATAATAATTTTAGTAATTAAATTTAGTAACTTAAAAATAAATAATTTTAGTAATAATTTAAGAAGAACCTATGATGTCAATAGAAACATTAGTAGAGACAGCTGAATACGGGAGTATGTCGGGTCTTAAATAAACAAAAAACAAAAATTCTGATGAAAAACATGACAAAAGAAGAATTACGAAAATACTCAGGATGTTAAGAAACTTGCAAGGTTTCTTAGGAATTAATATGACAAAAAAAACCCAAGTACATTAATAAAGGACAATTATATAGAAGCAATGAAAGAAATCAAAGTAGATTTGCAAAAATGGTCTAAACCAGTGGTCCCCCACCTTTTTAACACCACGGGGAAGGCAGGATGTTTGGGTTGATTGAGAACAGATCCTGCCCCTCCTCTGCATGACAGCCTTTCAAGTATTTGAAAAATGTTATATCACCCTTGTGTCTTCTTTTCTCAAGGCTAAACATGCCTAATTCTTCCAGCCCTTCTTCATAGGGCTTGGTTTCCACCCTTGTTACCGTCCTCCGAACTTGTTCCAATTTGTCAGCATTCTTCTTGAAGTGTGGTGTTCAGAACTGGACACAATACTAAAGGTGAAGCCTAACCAGTGCTGAACAGAGGGGAACTAGCATCTTGCAGGATTTGGAAACTGTACTTCTGTTAATGCAGCCTAAAATAGCATTTGCCTTTGTTCTACATCACAACAACAAGGAACCACTCTGTCTCCGCTCCCAATAACTATGAGGGTAGCAAACTGGACGTTATCAGTCATCGCATCTACATCTTGGCTTCCTTTGTCCTGAGGAAAGCCAATTATATGGCAGAAATGGGACTTACCACCGCCACAAAGTTCTCATCCTTCAGGCAGTGCCAGGGGATCACTGATCTCAAGGCCTCTTTCCACGAAGATGCTATGGTTGTGGCATGCCAGGAAAGAATTGTGGCACGTCATGTGGTGGATGCATCATCTAAACAGCTCTATGCAGGCAGGCATGGCTTATGTCCCAGGGCATATCAGAAGATGTATGATCTAGGATTGAGGGCCTATCTTTCTATGGAGTGGGCTTTTCTGATGAAAAGACGGATGAAATCCTTGACATCCTGCAGAAGATAAGAAAAACATCCAGATCATATAACTTGTAACATTATTCTCAGACTCCCCAAAGTTCCTAACGTTGCCCTTACTCATCAGTCCTACAGACTTCAAGTAGACCACCAAAGGTCTCAGATACGGACCTTGTCTTGTTTTTCCTTCGGCAGCAGCTCAGCAGATGGCATCTATGGCAGTCCACCTGCCAACCTAAGAAGAAAGCAAAGAACAACCTTTGACTTGCAGGTTGACCAGATCCGTCCATGTCCTCCATTGACATCCCCACACACCACATCTCACACCTTTCCTACCCCCATGGACTCACATCACCTCAGATGCCTGCATTCTAACCATCATCAGTGTTTGATATGCAATCGAATTTGCCTCCATGCCCCCCACAGGCTCTTCAAGTCCACAGCTCCATCTCCAGCCTTGGAAGAGGAGGTATGCTCCCTACTAGAGAAAGACGCCATTGACTCTGTCAAGACTGCAGAAAGGACCTCTGGATTTTATTCCCATTATTTTAAATCCCTCCAAAGAAAATGATGGGCTATGGCCCATACTGGACCTCCATCATCTCAACCTCTACATCATTTCAAAGTAATTCTGTATGGTTACACTGGATGGCATCATTCCATTCTCCAACAGGGTGGCTTGTTCGCAGTTAAAGATCTGTGGGATGCCTATTTCTGTAGAGGTATCCGACCACACCATCTCAGATACTTCAGATTCTCTTTCCACAACTTCACATACGAGTTCAAGACCCTTCCTTTGGGCCTGTCCACTGCTCCGAGAGTCTTTATGAAATGCCTTTAGCTATACCAGCATTCCTTCGACTCTGCAATGTCACTGTTTCCCCCATTGCAGTGTCTGGCTCCTTGTCACATCTTGAAAGATAGCCCTCTGGGACTTCAGGTGAATCTTTCAAAGTCAGTCCTTGAACGTTCTGAGGTAGTCACATAGGAGCGGTCTTTGACTTCCACCAAGCCCGAGCCTTCCTCCTGGCAGATAGACACATGAAATGTCATGTTCTCTTGCACACCAAACTATGCCATCTCAGAGTAATCAATCCTCAAAAGACACCAACAAGGTTCCAAGGAAACGTCACTTGTCATGTTCACCCTCTATCTCTTCCCCAGGGGAATCTTCAGCCTCACCTGATTCAGATCAGGAGGAAGGAAATTCGTCTGATGCTTCTAAGGAGGCCCCTCCAAATATTAATACACCTGACTCAGGTGTTGGCGACTTACGGCCACCTTCTCCATCTAAAAACTTTACATCCTATTCACAAAACAACAAAATCGTGTTTCCATGTGGCTCAGGTGCTTTTCCACCTTCACCTCCCTTCCTCCCCCGCTTCCTGGAAACCTTCAACTTCTTTATTGAGTTTACTGGAAAAAGTGAAGTGTCTCCCAGCCACAAGATATTTATGCCCCCCCCTCCTGGAGTTCTGAATTGCCAAATCGCTTCTAAATGCAGTTATTTCAAATCCTATATAGTTGTTTGGACTGACATACTGCATTACACTATAAGATCTCCCATTAGGATGCATATGTCAGTAAAAAGACCAAGTGATAATAAATCAACTTCAAAAAACCTGAACCAGCTATCAGCTTATTTCTGTGGTGTAACCGTGCCCTAAACTATTTTTTTCAAAATACTGATTATAATACAGTGGCCAAAATCCTGTTGTGTAAAGTTACACCAGCACAAGCTTGATGACATCATCATCTGTGGGCTGTTATTAATATTTGCTTTTTCTTTTCTCAAGATTCTGCAGCTGCACTATTCACTATGATTAAAAGAAACAAGCAGAATGAAATTCCATATGGGAAGTAAGTAGCAACTAATGAGCCTTTGAGAGCCTTGGGATTGGATAAGCCTTTAATGCCAGAAAATTGTTGCCAATGGCATTTAGACTGTGAACAATTTGATGGCATTAAACCCCTGCTCCCTGTCTCAAGGTTCCCAAACTCTTCCTCAGGTCAAAAGGAATCCCAAGGGAGCCTCAGAACCAGAGATCTAGAATATGAATCTTTAAATGAGTGATAAAAACCCATCAGCTTGCATGCATGAGTTTAACTTTACACAAGGATTTTGTCTATTGTTTGATAAAATAAAGGGAGTTGACAGTAGTCTTGTTGGAATTTCTCTGGTATCTTTTAGAATAAAAGCTATCAAATACCACTATTACCAGTACTAATTGAGGGTCTGGGAGAACTGATTTTAAGGTATAACCGACCTGGTTATCTAAGTTGTGAAAACAGTAGATCAATTCTCTAGCTCTTAGTGTTTCAGAAATCTTTTAGGATGAACCCTGTATCTTTTCTTCTAGGGAGTGCCA